GGTGCCGGTGGGGTCTGCTCTGCCCAAGGCCACCCCTGTCACTGGGGCCACAGCCACCTCCTCCCGTGTGCTCCATCAGAGATGGCACAGGAGCATGGTGTGTGTGTAACTGTCCCTTCAGGGAGGACCTGTGGGTGCGAGAAGGGAAGATCCTCAACCCAGAGAAACTCTTCTTTGATGAGAAAGGCTCTGCTGACATCCAGCTGGACTGCAAGGACAGCATCATCGCCCCGGGCTTCATCGACGTCCAGATCAACGGTACAGTGAAGCCATGTGCACTCACAGAGGGGTGTGGGGGGTCCTGGGTTTGTCCATCTCGGACCTTCAAACCCTGCTATGTGCATACTGCCCGTGATCAAGTGTGTTTCAGCTGCTCAAGGGAGATGTGACTCACCAAACTAACCATAAAGAACAATTTTGCCCATGGTTGCTGCTGTCACACAATTGATCCCCTTTGGTTTGGTGGGGTTTTCAGCTCAGCTTTACTCTGAACCTCATTCTTATCCACATTTTATCCTGCCCCTGCGCTGTCAGGATGCCCACCCTACCCTTTACAGCATGCGGAGAGGACAGAGCAGGACTTCTCAAAGCAACAAATGTTACCTGCAATAGCTCCTTCCTGAAGGTCGAGAGGGGCTTGTTCTATGGTAGTTTATGTTGGGAGAGAGATCCCCTCTTCAGTGGGGAATCCTCACATCATAGAATCATAGAATCACAGACTGGTATGGGTTGGAAGGGACCTTAAAGCTCATCCAGTCCCAACCCCCCTGCCATCAGCACGGACACCTTCCACTAGACCAGGTTGCTCAAAGCCTCATCCAGCCTGGCCTTCAACACTTCCAGGGAGGAGCAGCCACAGCTTCTCTGGGCAGCCTGTTCCAGATTTTGCCCTGCATCAAAATTAAAAGTTGGTGCTTGCAAAATGCTGGAATGCTGTAAGGAAAAGCACTTTAGGAGGACAGCATTGGTTGGATTTGTACTCACAGAGCCTCATGAATGTAGGACAGGAGAAGTGCTGGTGGAGCCCTTTGCTTCTGGTCAGTGCTGTACAAATGGAGTGGCTCACTCCAGTCACACAAAATGTTTCTTTGGCATTTTTGGGTGGGAAAACCTCCACTGGTGAGGCTGCAGCTTCATCTCTGTTTTTGTTCATGGTGCAGGAGGCTTTGGGGTGGACTTCTCCCTGGCTACAGATGATCTAAAACCAGGGATTGACCTGGTCAGTCAGAAAATCCTCTCCCATGGAGTGACCTCCTTTTGTCCCACCCTGGTGACCTCTCCTCCATCTGTGTACCACCAGGTAAGTGACTTTCTCTTCCTCTCATTTGCAGGATGATAAAGGGCTCAGGTTGGTACCAAGAGGTGAGAGGGCCAAGGCTGGGTCTGCAGAGGCCTTGGTGGAAGAGCCGAGGGAATGAACTGGACTCTGGCCCTGGATTTCTTGCCCTTAACCTTTAGACCGCTGAGACAGCGATGTCTCCTGGGCCAGCTTTGCACAACAGGCTTGCAGCTGGCTTTTTCTTTGTGAGCTGTGTTTGGCTGATGGTCCCAGGTGGTCCAGCTACAAAGCTCTCTCCAGACCTGAGGTTTGGGTTTGTTTGGCAGGCTGGGGTGCTGTGGCTGGGCTGCATGTCTGACAAACCCCTTTCTCTAGATTCTCCCTCAGATGAGTATAAGAAATGGTGGAGCCCATGGAGCAGGTATCCTGGGTAAGTGGTTTTGTCCCTCACTCTCCTCTTTAGTGCCACTCCAGGTAGGCAATTATCTTGTTCATTGTTAAGGAGAAAGAAGCTCCTGTAGGGACAGCACAAATGGGGGTGGAGCTCTTTCGATGCACTGGTGGGCACAGACCTGCTTTCTCCTTCAACCTGTCCCTGGCCTTTGCCTTGGTCTCTGCCACTGTACACACATGGCTTCAGCCCTTTTGGGCCCCCCCAGGGTAATGGCAGTGGGGTGGCTTGGCTTGGCCAGTTGCCAGCGCTGCATCTTTCACTGTGCTGAGCTCAGAGTTACCTAAGCCATGTGTTTTGCTGCAGAAGAATGGCAAGAGCTTGACTGGAGCAGGGTAGACATAGCAGGTTTCTTGGTGGGGAGAGGAAGGGTCATGGCTTTGTGTTCCTGTTTGGGCAGGGGCCCATCTGGAAGGACCGTTCATCAGCAAGGAGAAGAAAGGGGCACACCCGGAGCACTGCCTCCGCACCTTCGAGGCGGGTGCCTTTCAGGACCTGCTTGCCACCTACGGGTCCCTGGACTGTGTTCGGATAGTCACCCTGGCCCCAGAGATGAAGAGGAGCAGTGAGGTGATCCGGGAACTCACCAAGCGGGGCATCTGTGTCTCGCTCGGTAAGGGCTGGGGAGGAGGAGGCTTTGGGAGGCTCCATCTCCCTGTGCCACGCAGGTCAGGCAGCCCCACTCTTGGGGCTGTAGCATCTCCAATGGTATCTCAGTGAGACTGCATGAGGTGGGATTTTCTTCTGCCTGGCCGATGTGGAGGTGACAGATCTGTCACAAATGGAGACCTCACTTGATGCTGTGAATCTGTTGCCCTTTGTACAGTAAGGGCCAAACTTCCTATTAGTCGAGAAGCCCCTGCAGTCTAACACAAGGTAGAGTTTGGTGCTGTAAATACACTTGAGTAAAGATGTAATTGGGGGTTGACAGCATGGAAAGGTTCAAACTCTGAAGTTCAAGTGCTTCAGGCCTTGTTTGACAGGTGGAATAATTTTCCAAAGGTTACCATTGAGTTTTGATAACTTTGGTTTTCAACAGGAAGTGCTGTAGGAGACCTCTCCCTCCACTGCCCTGCAAGCCACTGACTTAAAACTGGCTGCATTTTTCTTGTCCTCTGTTTCACAAACTCTTCTTTGCCTCAGATCATTACAGAAATATTTTGTTTGTTTGTTGTTTGGTTTTTGGTTTGTTTTTTTTTAATGAGAGGGAGTTGTTCAGGGTGAAATTAAACCTTAAGTGAGAAGGGCATTCATGCAGCAGAGCATTTCTTATCTCACAGCCACATAAAGCAAAGAACCACAGAAAGGCAAGGTTTGCCCACAGAGCATTAGAGCTGCTGTCTGTGTTGTGGAAAATGGAATTTTCCTTCTAGGTAGTTTTATCCTCAAATTCTTTCTTGGCAAAGTCCCCACTGTCTCTAATCCCTTGACAGCTCTCTATAAAGCTTTTAAATATCTGAGGACAGCAGAAAAGCATGTCCTTGGACCTCTAGCCCAGCCTGAAGGCAACTCTCTGGGAGCAAGGCAGCATTTGTGACAGTCGTGATGTGAACAGTGAATGTGTTCAGGTTCACTGCCAGTCTCCCCCAGGGTCATGGCCAGACACCTCTGTGCCGAGGCTGGCATCTCAGACTTCAGCCCAGGGTGAGGCATCAGAGTCGTGTCCTAGTGACAGAGCATCTACACTCCTGGGAAATAAATGGAGAGGTGGGCAGAAAAATCATGCATTGGTCTTTGTTCCCAGGACACTCGGTGGCTAATCTCTCGCAGGCTGAGGAGGCTGTGCAGCACGGCGCTACCTTCATCACTCACCTCTTCAATGCCATGTTGCCAGTGAGTAGCCAAGGGCCCTGCAATGGTATTGCCTTCGGTGCTTTCTCTCCAGCTCCCCACAGATGTGTATTCTCCCCAGCTTGCTTCCTAACAGGCCTTGCAGTGAGGTTTCAGCAGTGAAGCTCTGGTTTCACGTTTCTACTGCCTAATCTAATAAGAATCACAGAATGGTGGGGTTGGAGGGGACCTCTGGAGATCATCTAGTCCAACCCCCCTGCCAAAGCAGGTTCACCTGTAGCAAGTTATACAGAAAAGCATCCAGGTGGGTTTGGAACATCTCCAGAGATGGAGATTCCAGAGATGTCCACACCCTCTCTGGGCAGCCTGTCCCAGGGCTCTGGCACCCTCACAGGAAAGAGTATTTTCTTCACGTTTAAGTGGGATCTCCTGTGTTCCAGCTTGTGCCCGTTGCCCCTTGTCCTGTCACTGGCCACCACTGAAAAGAGTCTGGCCCCATCCTCTTGACACCCGCCCTTTAGA